AAATTACAAAAATGTTAATAGATATATTGTTTACGATGATATAGGTTCACGATTACTCAGTGATCCTTCCCAAGACCCGTTGCTCGTTTTCTCCGAGAAACATTCGATTCTTCTCTTAACAAACAAGAGACAAAATTCTCTCTCTAACGTGCCTTTATATAGAATCCATTTTTACTACAATTTACTTCGTCCTACCAAATTCCGTTTGAACTTCGAGGCTACGCTACACGACCTTTAATTTCTCTCTAGTGGGAACATGTGATCAGCTGCCGCCGCGTGTACATTCGAGCTGCCTGCAACACATTGACTGTGTCTAATCGAACTTTGGTCGTCTCTAGTCAAGTAGAAAGACGAGAGTAGCCCCGGGCCAACAACCTACGTAGGACCCGACTTCCGGAATTATTCGCCAGTTTGAATCGGATTTTTCATAAACGTCTCTCAAGAACAAGAAGACATTGGTTTATCGTAAGCTATCTGACAATAAATCTGTTTATGCACCGGTATCGATCAGCTCACATACGCTTGCTTTTGTTTTGGACGACCTGACCGGACCTCATCGAAATGGTCATTTCTCATTGGCAGATCGGTCCATTTTTGGTTTGTACATAAGGTATCGTATGGGAGTGTAAATCAATGTAATCCTCAGAATGAAATTTCTATTTCTTCAGCACGCGAATATTTTTTTCTTTTTCCATGTTTAAGGATGTCTTATAATTTTGTTTTAAACTATCTTGCATATTAGTACTAAATCAATAAAACAGTAAGACTGTATAAAATTCGGGCTCGTTCCCGTCATAAAAATAGGCGTGCGATGTAACAACAGTTTCTTCTTTAAATTTTGATAGATTATTATTATTATAATTATTATTTAAAAAAATGTTTATATTCGATATTTACGCAGGACGAAACTGCTGCATTTCGTGCACATCTGTCAATTTTATTTTACCTGACGTCGTTTTGAATATATTTAATATAAACATATCATTAAATGAATTTTTTTTTAAATTATATTTCAAAGAATTAGTAAATAGACGATTTTACCGACCATACATTAATTTTTCTTAATTTTCAGATTATAAATTAAGTAATAATAATTGAAATTAAATGCTAAAAAATGTTATATTCTGCCGAAATATGAGTTAAATGGTACTTGGATAGTTTGTTTCTTGGAACATCTGTAAATAATGTCATTTGTCGGCCCAGAACATTGTCACTCGACACATGTACTGTACATGCACACTAGGTTTAAGGAACAGTTTTTATGAATAAAGTTTAGTATAATAATTAGATTCATAAAGTCTTATTATAAAGCAGAAGTTCCCCACCTGCTGGACAACGACTTCCAGATATTAATGGATTTATGTAGAGTAGGCGATAAATTTCTAGGTTTCGTTTGATGTAATTGGATAATTATATTTTTAATATATTAAAATATAATACTTTTAATAAAATAAAAATATAATTAAGATAATATATATAATAATAATTAATATAAGCTTAAATTAAGCTTAAAATTATATAAATATTTATTAAATAAATCACAAATTTAAATTTTAATTCCGATATGTAATAAAAAATTATAACTTATTTATTATGGTTTTATATTTCATTTTAACTTGTTTGTAATTTATTTATTTTTTCTAAATAGATGACAAGCAAAAACAATTTATGGGCTCTTATTGTAAAGCCTCTCTAAGTTATTATATAACGATGTAAACATTAAACTTAGAAATTTCGACTTTTTTCTGAAAACGACTGAAGAAATGTTCGATATGAGTATAAGTAGAATAGCCACAAAAAATTTTACGACATATTTCATTGCACATAAATAAATTACCAATGTCTGACAATATCAAAAGAACACATTCGCATACTGTTGTCCTCTCACTTCAAAAGTGGCCTCAACGCAATGAACTCTCAAGAGCCTATCATCAAGGCTTTTGGGTGACGTTTCAATCAACAAGCAGATCGGTTATTGTTGGTTTCAGCAGTTCAAATATAAAGATTTCTCGCTTTAAGATGAACCCAATCCAGGTAGCTCCATTCCAGCGATGATGTTGTCGTTCTCATGCAACTGATAGAATCTACGATTGACCACCAGCCTAATAACTTGCGTGTTTCCGTACGATCCAAAAATTAACATATTCCGATACCACTACGACTGTATGCCAGCACATACAGCAAATATGACCTTTCAGCAGCTGGCCAGTATGGGTTGGAAGATTCTGCTTAATCTGTCTTACAGCCCAGACTAGGAGCCAACTGACTATCATCATTTTCACACTCTGTACATCCATATTTCCGAAATACAGTACAGTTGAATGACATTTTCTTTAAAGAAAAACAGCAGTCATTTCGTGCTCACGAGATTGGAGGTTTGCATCAAACTTGGTGAGATGTGATAGATTTTGATGGTAATTACCTGCAAGACTACATTGTAGTCAGAATTGAGTTAATTGTCAATATACTTATTTATTTGTTTTTCAAAATGTCTAAATTTCACCCTTACAGCATGATATTAACTAATTAGTTACGTAACGCTGTATCAGCGTGAGTAGTAGTGGTTTGGGAAGCTTTGATCACAAAATTAATTTTTCAATGTATTTTCAGATAAAAATTGAGTAGCACTGATTACAAAATGGGCAGCTTTGATCACAAAATTAATTTTTCAATGTATTTTCAGATAAAAATTGAGTAGCACTGATCACAAAATGGGAAGCTTTGATCACAAAATTAATTTTTCAATGTATTTTCAGATAAAAATTGAGTAGCACTGATTACAAAATGGGCAGCTTTGATCACAAAATTAATTTTTCAATGTATTTTCAGATAAAAATTGAGTAGCACTGATTACAAAATGGGCAGCTTTGATCACAAAATTAATTTTTCAATGTATTTTCAGATAAAAATTGAGTAGCACTGATTACAAAATGGGCAGCTTTGATCACAAAATTAATTTTTCAATGTATTTTCAGATAAAAATTGAGTAGCACTGATTACAAAATGGGCAGCTTTGATCACAAAATTAATTTTTCAATGTATTTTCAGATAAAAATTGAGTAGCACTGATTACAAAATGGGCAGCTTTGATCACAAAATTAATTTTTCAATGTATTTTCAGATAAAAATTGAGTAGCACTGATTACAAAATGGGCAGCTTTGATCACAAAATTAATTTTTCAATGTATTTTCAGATAAAAATTGAGTAGCACTGATTACAAAATGGGCAGCTTTGATCACAAAATTAATTTTTCAATGTATTTTCAGATAAAAATTGAGTAGCACTGATTACAAAATGGGCAGCTTTGATCACAAAATTAATTTTTCAATGTATTTTCAGATAAAAATTGAGTAGCACTGATTACAAAATGGGCAGCTTTGATCACAAAATTAATTTTTCAATGTATTTTCAGATAAAAATTGAGTAGCACTGATTACAAAATGGGCAGCTTTGATCACAAAATTAATTTTTCAATGTATTTTCAGATAAAAATTGAGTAGCACTGATTACAAAATGGGCAGCTTTGATCACAAAATTAATTTTTCAATGTATTTTCAGATAAAAATTGAGTAGCANCTGATACTTTTTAACAGAATCTATATAAATATCTATTACAGCTTCTATAGGACTGTGTAATGTTTTTATGGCCAATCGTCGATAAATAATTTCATGATCTTTCACTTGAAATGTTTCAAAATCTATTAGAATCGCATATAAAATGAATAGAAATCAATGTTTAAAAGAATTAAGTACAACAGACAAATTTTGTAACGATGAATTTGTTAAGAAATTTGTTTAAAATCATTTTTACTTATCACACCTGAGTGCAATAATGTATAATCAGTGTTGTAGTTCAGATCACAAAATTAATTTTTCAATCACAAATCTTAATTAAATTAACTTTATTTTAACAATAAGGCTGTATTAATTATTAAATGTTTTAATCTATATCTATATATCTATATCTATATCTATATATAGCCTATATATAAAAATGGACGTGTGTGTCCTATATTTTACTTTTCAGCCAAAACTACGCATCGCACATGAATGGTGTTTGTATGTGGTAGTAACCCCAAGTCTCCATTCGTGCACTATGATGGTTGCGTCTCGATAGCTATAAGGATGAAAGTGGTTTGGAGATATGGGCTTGAAAGTGGTTGAAAGTGGTTTTCTATTTTCGAATGTTATGTTCGAATTTGTTCGAATTTAATTCGAACATAAAATTCGAATATCGATTCTATTGTAGAACGATTGTAAACGTTCCAGAAACGTTGAAAATAGTTCGTTTGACTGGACGTAAAAATTCTCTAATTAGTCCGGAAACGGGAGACCTAATTTTTGCATTCTGTGAAAACGGGTAAGATTGGCTATAATGTAATTATCTTAATCTTCACTATCGTTACTTTTTGCCCAGCGAAGCGGGTCCTTGCAGCTGGTATCGAATAAAATTAAAACACAATAATTGTATGAAATAATATAACACCAAAACGAATTATTTTTGCATGAATAGATCAAATAAGTTTTATTTTATTTAAGCTTTTCCAGTTTTTATCTAAAACATGACATATTTCTGGTCTAATTTCTGTTCTATATATATAAAAATGAATGTATGTGTGTCTGTCCTTCATGCATTACCACACCGTTTATCCGATTGCCGTGAAACTTTGGGAAGTTGTTTAATATACTCCCGCGAAGGTTTCTGGCATAGTACATTTATACTACGATAGATGGCGAGCGTTATACAAGCATTTTACTGTGTGTTCGATCGATTTCAAATTGTGAAGATCATTTTCCCCCTCCAAAAACTATTTCTATTAACTATCTAATAACAGTTCAGCATTTGTGAACTGTTATTTACGATAATTGTAATAATTTTTGTTTAATCACTTTATTTCAACTTTTTTTTTTTTTTGCTAATTATGTATTCGCTCGAACTTTGTTAAAACCTTAACTGTATCCCGAACAACAACCGAAGTTGTAGGAAGAAATNGTTTACTGTAGTTTTAAGAATTCAACTTTGCGTAATTGGAGGTTATATGTATAATGATTTAGAAAATGAGAAAAATTCTTTGAAAGTTAATAAAATCATTGCCTCACCAGAAATTCAACAAAAGTATCTTTCTCATGTCAATTATTTTCTTAATGCTGGAATAAAAGAATTGACCATTCCAATAAAAAACATAGTAGAATCTGCAATTGGGAACATCAGCTTAAAGCATACCTTGTTGTTAAAAGATTTTGAAATCATATTGGATAGTATCAGAAATAGTGTTTGTTCTGAACAAGAATTCATTCCTGCTACTATTTATTATGTATTATCAATGGATGTGTACAATAGTCCTAATTTAGAGTTGCTGTCAAGTAATGATTCGATTATTGCTCAGATGACTAATGAAACCAAGGATGTACTTGAAAGTGCAGATTTTTCTCGAGTAATGTCACATTGTCTGGAACAAGGATTTGCAAAATTAATGGATCGTCTAACTGAATGTTATATTCACTTAAACTGTGATGGGTTTAAGAATCCAGACAGTATAGCTATTCCGTTGGCTAAAGTACTACCTGGAATTCGTCAAGTAATGCAGAAACACAAACCTAATGAACAGGACTCTCTTACGACATCACTTTTATATTTTGAAGAATTGACAAATTTTTCTGCTAATATTTATGAAACATTTTCTCATTCTCCAATTGAAATAAAATAATATTTTAAAATTCAATAATACAAGAAAGTGCCTTGAACACAGTCGTGTAAAAAAGAATAAATTTTCTTTATGTTCAGCTGTTTCAATATATGTATTTTATGTTAGTAAATAAATAAGAGCAGAGTGTCAATTTCCCAAACAGACTGGGAACTGTTTCTTTCTAGTAATAATAATTTAATGAAATTTTATTTTTGAGAAAGTAAATTTGGTATTGTCTCTTACTTTTTGAGATGTAATAGATAGTAACGGTATCTTAAATAACACAAATATTAAATAATTAAGAACATAATTATAAAATTAAGTTCCTACTTCATTCAAATACATTAAAAATACTGAAATGTTGGAGTAAAATATTGGTATAATATTAAATTCCAGTTAAATGTTTTCTTTGTACTGCAGTAAATAACATTATAAATAATTCCCAATAATGGAAGAAAAAATATGTTGGCAGGCACTTTGTGTTAAAGATTCTGTTTATAAAAGCTTTAGTTTCTGGACATGATTCTGGATATAAACAGAATATATTTGCATCTATCCAAAGATATCTAGATAGAAACATTCAGAAAGTTAGCCTATTTGAAAATCATTAATATATTAAGGATTTAATGTAAAATGCATTGAAATCGAATGAAAATTTAATGTACAAGTTTTGTGAAATGATACTCTGCTAAAATCTTAATTGTACAATAATTATGGTACAGTTTTCATGTTCTACTATTTGAATATATTGATATAATTGTATTATGATTTTATATGATTTTTGTTAATGACAATTTGTATCTTATTACAGAATGGGAAATTTTTACTGTCATTAAAATCCTGTTAATGTTTGTTGTTAACATAATTTTTTATGACTGCATTTATTTTCTGAATTTGTCATATTTTTGTCTTTACATATTGTTTTGTTACAATAGGTTATTATAAAAAAAGAATGATATAATCAATCAATCAAAATCTTAACATAAAAAGGCAGTAACCTGTTACAAGGGGGTATTTTAACAATTTCTTAGTTTTACATAAACTTTTCGATAAAATTTATCATTAAATGTCTATTTAATTTAATGATTGAATAAGGCTAATTAACAATATACTTGTCACTCAAAAATGTTTTTAACATATTATATAAATTATAAATGTCATTGATATTCATTTTGTCCAATTTACTATACATAATTATTTCCATCTTTTGATTATATTCATAATTCTCACTAGTGTTTACATTTTGTTTGTTTTTCTCGTTACATCCATAAATTAATTAAATGAAATTTTGACAATTTTTTACCACATTTAGAGCATCCAGATTGATCATAATCTATATATTTATTTTCAATAGTTGTTGAATGAAGAACTTTTTAATGTTAAATTGGAGATTTAGAAACATGTAATTATTAATATATGGATAATTAAAAGTAACATTATACTGTAACTTATTTCTTTTTTGTATATCTTCATTATCCTGGATTATTGAGTATTTCGCAGCTTTATATAACAGTTGATTAATTCGTTGGTCATTATTAATAAGGTAGTCAAACACCAGTTCTATGGAAAAGCCATATACATTGAATATCCCTGATAATTATGTAATCCAGTTTCGTTTTATGTTGGTATTTTTAGATTTGTTGTACAATAAATACATTAGTTTTGTTGATAAGTCTTCTGCATTAATTATTTTTTTTGCCAATTGACATATCTTGTGATCAAAATAGTATTCAATTTAAATCTATTAAATTCTAGCCGCAGAGCACTTCCTGGAGTGTCATACTCTAACTGGAAGATTTTGCGAATAAATATATTCTGAATTTTTTTCTGTCTTAAAAATTATTTAAGCTCCATATAGGAGCAGCATAACATAATGCATTTATTATTATTGTATTGAAAAGCTAAAAATGAGTTTTAATGTTTCTAATTTTTGCCTTACAGCATATCATAATCAAATTGTTTATTAAGTTTCTGGATTTACTTATAATATATTTATATTGTGTGAGCCCGAGGGTTTACAGGGCGTAAATTTTTGAGTTTAACACATTTTTACGTTAGAGGATGAAAAAAATAATTTATCGCAAGTTATAACGGAAATAGAGAGGATGTCAAATTTTACACATCCACAAGGTAGGAAGGAAGAAAGACAAGTCATCGTCGGTTTGTTAATTAGTCAACGTGCATGTGCTAATTAGTCGTCATAACGAGTGAACGACCTGTTTGCTCAGTGCCAATGACGATCATATAAAAACGATCGTCACGGGTAGTTCATGGCGATCGTCCCTCCGCGCGATCATCTGGAAGGTCTGAGTACAGTGTCTCCCGTCCCGGTCCTATCCGAGGAGAAGCCGGTAGAAGACATAAGCCTGTGACAGCCAGCCAGCTTCCATAGTCCAGAATGATCGTCGCATACCGTCATCCAACATAAGGTATACCTGACCTCCAATATAACTCTCTCATTCTAGAGCCTTTGTAAACTCTCTCCTGAGGCATAGTGATTAGTTAGATCACCATTATAGATAAATTGGTGTTATCCACATTTAAGCATTAAATCAGTAGCTTCCTTATGTATACTCCTGTAAATTAACTTTAATTATAGAATAAACCTTTATTTTGTTATTTGTTAAACCTATCTCCTGTCTGTGGGCTCGCGGATTTTTTCGGGCGTTTTAAAATTCTAAATTTTCTGTTAATTATCTTTGGAAAAAATCCGAAGAATTTGAACTAGATCAGATTTCACCGATTGTATAACGACTAGCTGGGGAAGTTTACAGTTAGGTGTGAAGAATGCACTGTCATCGTCAACAAAAGTCAATCACGTGACAGTTTTCCCACGCTAATGATATAAGAGCTGGAATCTCCAGAAGCTCAGGGCGATTCGTCATAGGAAGTTATACTTTGTGATAGTGTCCACCTCGACTCCCGAACCTCCATACAGCAAACTTGATCCAGCTACAGAAAGAGGACATCGGCAAGAAGACACGGAAGACACCACACCCTTCCATACAGACAACGTTCGCCAACTCTCCCTTTTGCTGAGAGGTATTTAGGGGTTAGAATTTGTAAAAGCGCTCTCTCTCGAACTAGAAATTAGGTCAGCGACATAGCTACGAAATTCGTCGCCAATTTCTGTAAATATTTTAATATAACCGCATTTAACCTTAGTAGTAAGTTCGCCTCTTGTAGAGTTTGGATTTGTTGATTCAATAAATGCTTTGTTATTTTGTTAACCTGTCTTCTGTCAATTAAGGACTGCCAAGTTACCGACGCACTCCCCACTCGATTTGCCCTCCTAGTCATTCAACGACCCCGAGATCGGGTTTTATCAGCCTGTGCACAGTAAGTGGTCAATTGGGATTTAACCAGTGATCCAATGCTTATCTCACATTGGTGTCAGGAGTGGGATGAAGCCAACTTCCAGGCTTTTGACAGGTTAGTCCGTTTTAGGCAGGTTCGGCTCAGACAAGTTTTGTCCGCCATAAACAGGTTTTTAAATTTTAGACATAGCGTAGCAGGACTACAACATAGTAGCATAGAAATGGAAGGCAAAAATCTTCGCGCAACTTTGGGATGATTAGGTAGTTTGGTTCCTTTACTGCCTCTGTTTGCAGGACAGGCAGAAGGTCCCCTATTAGCGAGTTTTTTGACTCTATCAGATGTGGCAAAATTGTCAGGATGGACGAAAGCGCAAATGTTGGCAGTAGCAAAGCTTAGACTCAAGGGAATAGCCCGGGAATTCGTCAGAAAAGATAGACGAATCAATGACATTGAAGATTTTGAGGAATTTAAGCGGGTTATGTTCGAGCGGTTCGAAAAAAGTTCCTTTTTACCTTCGAGTTCATAAATTTTACGCCTGTGTACAAAAGAAGGAGGAAGATGTGCAGACGTATGCCGCTCGTCTTCAGTCCCTAGCCATGGAAATAGTAATCACGCCAGAGCCGGGTGCAAATGTGGAAGAAACTGCTATTATACAAAGGATCCAGACAAAGGAGCTAGATAAACTGTTAAAAGCGCAGTTTCTGAACGGGATTGATTTACGCATACGGCAACGGACGATGTCATGAGAGCCTACTACGTTTGACGAGGCGCTAAAAGCCTCGTCAAACGATTAGTGAAGAAATGATAGAGAATATGACCGTACAACCGCGAGGGATCATGCGAACAGTTAGAGATGTCAAACCAGATACAGGAAGGTCAGCGGAGGATTGGGAAACATTAAACTAGGAACTTCGATCTCGTGTAGCTGAATTATCAAGCGCCTCACCTAGGAAAGACCAGCTATATAGAAGAAACGATTATTGTCCGATTTCCTACTCTCGTCTACGACGAAATAGGCCACCAGCTCAGATTCAACAGATAGACAACGACGAGCCAGATTCCTCCTCTGAAAATAGAGAGCGATGAAAAGGAATCATTTGAACAACGACCTCAACGAAACCAAACCGTAACCCAGTAGTTTTATGCTACATTATATGCTACATTAATAACGTGCCAGTAAAAGTTCGTATAGATCTAGAGTTTAAGGACACAGTATTGTCAAATGAGGTTGCCAATAAATTAAAAGGGAAGTTTGTTTAAGTTTGGACAACGAAGGAATATAGAAGGTCCGAATGGAGAATCCATCTCAACCATAGGTATGACTGTCCCTAGGTTCAAGTTTAGAGGACACAAGTTTTCTAAAGCATGCAAAATTGTCCGCTCGAATACTATCGCCCCTTTCGAAGGCGTGATTGGAGGAACGCTTCTAGCGCAGAAGAAGTTAATTCTCGATAGAGACAACGAGCGAATTATTTTACCAAATGGTAAAGTCAGTCATTTTTGTTCATAGAGAAAGAAAAAAAGGACAGGCCGTAGAAGAAAGACAACAGGTGACTGGACGGAAAAAGATGCGAATATACTCCGCTTCATGCGATCCACTCCCACTACCCCACGAAATCAAAGGGAAGAGCAACTCCCGCTCGTCAAGGTCTACACAGAACAAAGTCGAGCGTCACAAGTCAGAGTTATCCGGTCGAGAATCCCGGAAAGGGACAGACGAACTGACCAAGTCAGAACAGAAATCAAAAGAATCAACATAGAAACAGGGGAAATCGAACTTTATTCAGAGCAGACTTCCACATCTCAAGAAGACTCGGAGGTAGAGAAATAGAAGGAAGAAAATCAAAGTGAAGCCGAAAATCAAAACTCAACGCTTCGAACCAGCTTGAACATCCTTACAAGCTGGATTCGGGCCTTGTTAATTATCATTTCCTTGATAGGAGGACCAAGCATGTCCATAGAAGATACATCGCTACAACCAGAAGCAATTACTGATATCTCCCCTCAATCACGACCAAGTCGCATACCGATACCGATTCACCCATCAACAACACCTCCTAGAATTAGAGTAGGGCATTTAGAGGAAAAAACGTCTTGTCGCAAATCAAGTATTTAGTAGGAGGCAATGGTATTAGAAATCCTGTATGCGTTAAACAGGCTTAGAAAAATCTAGCTAGGATTTAGAAATGGATAGGTCTTAAAGAGAGAGCATTTAGTTCCACGAATTTTTGCATCATTCGATTCTGCAACTTGGAACTTAGTGTGTAATGAACTTTGTGACTTTTCGACAATGCAAGTCCCGATTCAACGAGGACAATTGAACGGAGACAGCTTCATCAACAGGAAGTCCACATCACTCCAAGGTCAACGAATGCAGATCGAGAACATCAACAGTGAACTTTGAAACTCCCCATCAACTAATAGCCAGCACCAACAACTGAGTCACCAACGGAACTGTGGCAGTAGATCAACAATCTTCTTAAAGACAATTTATCCAGTTGTAAATCGCGTAGTGAATGCTAACTGCACATGTAACGCGTCAACAATCGAAATTGTTATTGTCGGAAAAAGATTTTGTTGTCGAGAAAATTTTTATTATTGTCGGGAAAACCCAGACCAAAAAAGGGAGAGAGTGTGTGTGTATTCTAATGTTAAAATTATACTCATAAGTATAATTTTAAAGAAAGAGGAAAATGATGTGAGCTCGCAGACTTTTTCGAAAGTTTTAAAATTCTAAATTTTCTGTTAATTGTCTTCGGAAAAAACCCCAAGAATTTAAACTAGATCGGATTTCACCGATTGTATAACGACTAGCTGAGGAAGTTTACAGTTAGGTGTGAATAATGCATCGTCATCGTCAACAACACGCTAATGATATAAAAGCTCGAATCTCCGGAAGCTCGGGGTGATTCGTCATAGGAAGTTATACTTTGTGATAGTGCCCACCTCGACTCCTGAACCTCCATACAGCGGACTTGATCCAGCTACAGAGAGAGGACATCGGCAAGAAGACACGGACGACACCACACCCTTCCATACAGATGACGTTCGCCAACTCTCCCTTCCTCCGAGAGGTATTTAGGGGTTTGTTTAACCCCTGACCCACTGTTTATCTCACAATTGTTTGCAGAAGGATAGATTAAACGTAAAAATTATTCCCAAGAATTTTTTTCATTGACTATTTTAATTTTTTCTTTCTTAATGTAAAAGGATTTAACTTTTTTTGAGAGATTATTCCATTTCTGAAAATCATAATTTCTGATTTGGCAGGATTTATTTTTACTTTTAAATTGTCTAGATATTCAGTTATCTGTATGATTTTCCTTTTTAAAGCCATTGCAGTAGGAGCTAATATTATTGTCATCTGCATATGAAATTGAGTGGATACATAAATTATCTATATATATTCCATCATCTTCCCTTAAAAAACATTGATTTAAGTCGAATAAATAGAAATTAAATAGAATTGGAGATAAGGGATCACCTTGTAATAGTTTTACTAGTTGTAAACGAATTCCAATATATGTTATTTTGTTTAATAATCACGTTGTAGTTGCCATATAATTGACCAATTATGTTAATTAAATTAACTAATAGCTTGCATTATGTTTATTTAATTTATTTTGTAGGAACTTTATACTAACAGAATCATAAGCTTTTGATAAGTCCAAGAATATTGCAAAAACCTTCTGTCTCTTCTTTAATAATTGTATTTGAATAGTTGTTAGTAAAACAAATAAGGATTTTTGAGTACCCCCATTTTCTATATATGAATATTGTGTTGAATTTTTTTAATTATTTACCTCTATCCATTGTTTAAATTTCTCTGCCAAAATTGCTGTAAATACTTTTCTAAAACTGGATAATAAGGCAATCGGTCTGTAATTTGCTCGGTCAAATTTATTTCCTTGTTTATAAATCATAGTAAAAATTACATCCCTCCAACTAGGTGGGATAGTACCATTGGAGTAAATGTTGTTAAATATTCTAGATAGATATTGAATCAATTTAGAAGACAATAATTTAATGAAAGAATTTGGTATATTATCTGGCCCTGGAGCCGATTTAATTTTCAATAACTTAATTCGTTTTTGTATCTCTTCTGCACTTATTATTTCATTCTGATTGATTTGGTAAACTATTTTGTCTTGCTTGTGAATATTTATTATTTGATCTATTCATGCAAAAATAATTCGTTTTGGTGTTATATTATTTCATACAATTATTGTGTTTTAATTTTATTCGATACCAGCTGCAAGGACCCGCTTCGCTGGGCAAAAAGTAACGATAGTGAAGATTAAGATAATTACATTATAGCCAATCTTACCCGTTTTCACAGAATGCAAAAATTAGGTCTCCCGTTTCCGGACTAATTAGAGAATTTTTACGTCCAGTCAAACGAACTATTTTCAACGTTTCTGGAACGTTTACAATCGTTCTACAATAGAATCGATATTCGAATTTTATGTTCGAATTAAATTCGAACAAATTCGAACATAACATTCGAAAATAGAAAACCACTTTCAACCACTTTCAAGCCCATATCTCCAAACCACTTTCATCCTTATAGCTATCGAGACGCAACCATCATAGTGCACGAATGGAGACTTGGGGTTACTACCACATACAAACACCATTCATGTGCGATGCGTAGTTTTGGCTGAAAAGTAAAATATAGGACACACACGTCCATTTTTATATATAGGCTATATATAGATATAGATATAGATATATAGATATAGATTAAAACATTTAATAATTAATACAGCCTTATTGTTAAAATAAAGTTAATTTAATTAAGATTTGTGATTGAAAAATTAATTTTGTGATCTGAACTACAACACTGATTATACATTATTGCACTCAGGTGTGATAAGTAAAAATGATTTTAAACAAATTTCTTAACAAATTCATCGTTACAAAATTTGTCTGTTGTACTTAATTCTTTTAAACATTGATTTCTATTCATTTTATATGCGATTCTAATAGATTTTGAAACATTTCAAGTGAAAGATCATGAAATTATTTATCGACGATTGGCCATAAAAACATTACACAGTCCTATAGAAGCTGTAATAGATATTTATATAGATTCTGTTAAAAAGATTAAATTTTATAGACAAAAAAAAACCATTGGATATAACGGACTAGATCGAACATAATAATTTACAAAACTTATTAAATTATTTCACAACGTATAATGAATTACTTAAATTTAAAAGCGAATAGACAGGAAAAAAAAACTTTTTAAAAACTAGAACTACAATTATTTACACATCGAACTTCTTTTGGTGTCTAAGATTAAATAATATTAAAAAATTTGTTATTACCACAAATATTTTAAAGAAGCATTGTTCTCTTTACGATATTTAATAAATAAGTAACAAATATAATTTAAATAATTATTATATTGAACTATTTCCCTATTTTACTTTGCCTTATTGTTATAATATTATTTTAAGTTGTCGTGTTTCAATTTACTTGGATATTAGAACAAATTGTAAAAATTATTATCGCAAATTAATTTTATATGAAGCAATGAATTGAACTGAGAAGTTTTCTAAATATGAAAATTTTTTCTTAAGAAATGAATTGAAAAGTTTCCTAAATATTAAAATTATTTATAATCTTAATTTACTCGAGAAATTTTTGATCTGAAATACTTTATATCCTGAAAAATTAATTTTAAAATTATTACGTGCATAAATATATCTTGCTTTAGATAAAGTGAATGAAAAAACTGGAAAAGCCTAAATAAAATAAAAGTTATTTAATCTATTTCATGTTAAAATAAAAAAGTTCATTTTGNATTTTATTGTATATTAAAACATTTAATAATTAATACAACCTTATTGTTAAAATAAAATTAATTTAATTAAGATTTGTGATTGAAAAATTAATTTTGTGATCTGAAATATTCCATTCAACAAATTTTTATTAGCAATTTTAAAAATTTTTATGTAATTTTAATTTTGTGATCAAAGCTTCCCAAACCACTACTACTAGCGTGTAGTCGGAGCGAGGCTGCTTTCATTTTCATTTTCTAGATTATGAGGAAAAAAGAGAGAAAGAATCATTCGTTCTCAACAACATATTTGATTTCTATTAACCGTTTAAAAGCACAAATATAAGGTCAGAATAAGCCATTAATTAATTGCTATGCCAACGTATCATCAAATTCTATCACTATGGGCCTTGGACTTACAGATTGACTCGTAGCAATTTTTATTATAACTGTTTAAAAATACTACGTCAATTATTTTTTTTACTCGCCTGAATGCAATATAGGTAAGACGGATAGCTATCTCTTTCTTACCTATATCTATTTTAATTTTTGGAAGAGTTAATCCCTGTGATTTATGTATAGTCATCGAGTATGCTAAGGTAAGGGGAAACTCTCTACGAGATTGCAATATACTGCCATCGTTCGAAGAGCGTGTTATGGGAAATATTCGGAACAGATTACTATAGATGAAAGGTCCCTGATAGTTATTGAATTCTACTAAAATAAACAAAGGAAAAGCTGGAGAGCGAGTATTAGGAACATATATAATGTAGCGTGTAGTTCCTAGTGATCCGTTGACGAGACCTCCTTACACCCATAAGTTGACTCTCAGCAGGATTCAGGCATTAATTAACTGAGAGATTCAAATACTTAGAGAGACCAAGAGCTCAGTCATCTTTGGACGAGGCAATATCTGGAGTGTTTTCAGAGGCTACATAAGCAACAGGGCACCCAGTTGACTGCAAGTAGTTTTCGTTGCTTTGTTTAACTTGCTCGTTTCTTGGATATAGCTCTACTGCCGTTTGGAACTGATCAAGTTTATCTCTGGAAAATTGGCTCGATATAATTAGACGCCGCCATAGGAAGTAGCCTTAGTCAGCTCATTTGGACCTCTAATACTGAAGAAAAACGCGACCTCCGTTTTGACTCATATCTCCAGTTCTACAAAATGGATCATTTTTGAGAGTTGAAATTTTAATCAGTTGATCCTTGAGACATGATGAGTCGTCCAAGAAAATTTCATTTAAAAAAATCGGACAACTCATTCTGGAGTTATAATGTTGACAAAGGATGTATGAAGTCAAATGTTAGTCGTCGCTCCGACAATAAACCGCAGTTAATAGAAATATAGCATGTTTCGCAATTATTCGGATTTTCCTATCAAAACTAAATAATATCATAACAGTTATGAATAACAACAAAACATACTAATTTATTATATATTTTTATTTTATTGATTACAGGAAAGTCCAATACACTAAACTCTCGGTCATTGTGATCTAATAACACGCAAGTAAAAGTATCCGGAATTTTACCGAAACAGGAACCGTAAAATTTTAATTATATCAAATTATATAATGTTAATATTTTATACGAACAAAAAATATTTAGTACTGGTTAAACATGCATTGAATTAGAGCAAAACTGACAAGTGCATTATTTTATATACAGAAAAAATTTCTAAATACTTTTCAATATTCGCAATAATTCGTCATAAACATATTTCTTTGTTTCTTTTGCAAAGATGAAATCTAGATGGCCCCATTTTTCTAGCGGTACTTGATAATCGGCTATCACATTCGGGAGGCAATTTCGAAGTATATCCACGTCTTTAGGATTTGCCAAAAGATCGTTCAAACTCCAAAAAATTGCGATCGGAGTTTTAATTTTGTTACAGTCATACTTTGGGGGCTGCAACTAATAGGTAAACACATTCATATAAACGAAAGTAAAGATCTAAATATCGAACATAAACCTTTTTCCTTACTTGTTTGTATCTCTTTAAGTTTTCTAATGGCCCATAATCGAACTTCTGAAAGTTTTTCCAATTTACCAGCTACAATAGGCTTAAATTATTTCAATTATTCATATTTAATTTCCTCGATATATTAAACAACATAACCTACCTGTAAAACGTGAATGAAGTTTTTAGTAGATGTTCCCGCAGGAAAATGAGAAAAGTACACATCTAGGCGAGACTGAAATAATCTAATTTATTAGAACATAAGATAATTTCAAACATTCGCTACAATCTATCTTACCTTACCTCATTTAATTGAGAAAAGTCATATCCGCTTATTAGGAAATAGATATTGGAGCATATCGATCTTACGACATCAACTTTACAGGCAGTTTGAGCAAATAATTCCGTAATAAAATCGTTTGGTAAAAATTCCTTGTGTCCCAGAACGGAAAATAAAAACTGAACCAATCTTAAGTTAAAATCTTTAATCGAAAAATATTTTATTAAAATTCTGGCAAAAATTACGGAATTTCTTCATCACGATGTCGTTTTTATAGTGTTTTAAGCATGCAGCAAAGAAATAAAACAAGCAATTGATACAGAATAACTTTGTAAGAATGGCCCTGAGTTTTCCTATGTTATATATTTAATTTATATACAATTGTATAACATCACATACAAGAAAAATTTTGAAATTATAAAACAGAAAAATTATATATTTATTTGCTTCCTATTTTGTTCAATATGTAAGTTCGGATATAAACTAAATGCGTGTAAACCACTCAAATACCCTACTTTTCTCTTATTGTAACAAAATCATTGCACCAACAACGGAATTATCCATCGAAATAATAGAAAGAATTGTAAAGTTCTTTAAGGAAGGAAATTTAACAACGACTATTGCAAAAGAAGCAAACTGTTTACAGTCAACTGTATCAAAACTGGTCTGCAAGTATAAAGAAATTGAGAATGTTAGGAAAGGAAACTGATCAACTACGAAAAATATCAAGATATCAGGATATAAAACTAAGAGCAATGTCTCTTAAAAATAAGAAATGTACAAGAAAACGGATAAATAACAAATGAAAAAAAGTAGGTGTTAAAGCTTATGAGAGAAGATTAAAAATTCATTTCAAAGAAATGGTACATTCATAAACAAAAGCAAAACGACAGTACTTCCGACACAAAACATATGAAAACAAGGTTACAATGGCTAAAGAAAAGCAATCGTGAACTGTAGTACTGAATGAAAGAGATATTTAGTGATAACTGACGAATTTGCATCGGTATCGAGGTGATGCTAGAAAGCATCACCTCGATTAGTTTCACGCCGTTCTAACGAAGCTTATAAGGTGACTGCCAAAGAATTCGACAAATTTCCTATCTCACTTATGTTAATTTGGGTGTCAGGTAAAGGACAGGGCGAGCTGACCTGACCATCGCTATATCAAAACGGCAATGTAATGCCCAGGCATACGTTGACGTTTTGATGAACTTTTTTATTCCGTCCATTGAAAACATGTTCGATGGTGATGATGTCATTATCCAAGATGACAAAGTATTTTTTCATGCGGTTGCAACAATCAAAATTTTCTCGCCAACACTGCACCGACACAATACATTGTCCAGCAAACAGTACACTTGTGAATCTGTTAGAGAACATGTGATGAAAATTTAAGAAACTGGTCCAGAAGAAAGTTCTGTATGGAAATCAAGTGTCTTGACTACTGTTCGGTGAAAATGGAAAGCTTTCGATAAAGAATTTTATTTTCATGAGTGAAATTAACGACTGAAAAAAAACTAACATTAATTTTCTATTGCTTATTAATATGCCTTAAATTCAAGCTTATTATTACGACCATAAATGACTTTAAAGTGACTGTATTTTCGCTTAACTTTTTAACTTAATCTAAATATATAAAATTGCTTGTCCTGACTGACTGACTCACTCACTGACTGATTTATCATCGCCCAGAGCAAACCGCTTAACCTGAAGAGGTGAAATTTGGTAGACAGTTAGGGTACGTCATGGAAACGCACACTAAAAAGAAATTTTTCGAAATTTCCCCGTGGGAGGGAGAGTGAAAGCCCTAAGACTTAACCGAAAAAACGGCTTCTACTGTACTATTTTAGATGCGATTTTTTGTTTTTATCTGCGTTGTAGTAGGGTATGCCGTGAGAATACACACTAAAAAGAAATTTTTAGAAATTCCCCCGCGGGGGGTGAGGGAGAGCATTAAGACTTAACCGGAAGAACGGCTTCTACTGTACTATTTTACATGCGATTTTTTGTTACGTTTAGTCTTCATTAAGTACTTAAGTGTATTAAATTAATAACATTTCAGACATTGTTATAAATATTTTATCTATTTCGATTTTTAAAATGTTCGAACCATTTTAAATTTGAATTTGTTATTGCATATTGGTTTGATTATAGAACGATTGTAAACGTTCCAGAAAATTGATCAAATTGAAAATAGTTCGTTTGATTCTCAGCAATTCTCATCATTCTCGGCGGTAGGTGTTATATAACAATTACTATGGTTGTTGAAATACTGAATATAAATGGGGTTTGCTTGCAAAACCTCCGCGGGCGAAGTCGCGGGGAACAGCTAGTGCTATATAATATTGTACCCAACTGAACAGGGATGTCTTTATACATCCTAAATACAGATTAAATTCAATAAATAAATTACATGAATAAACCGTCACCTTAAATTCATTTGTAGTCGTTATGATAAGTTTGGGTTTAAGGCTTATTAATAGCCAGTAGAAAGTTAACATAGTCTTTGAAACAAGAAGCAAATTATACTAGAAGTAAGATTGTCTAAACATTGCGGGGTAAGAATGTATTGATTAATTTTTTTAAATTGCTTAATCCCGTACATAACCTTACTTTAATTTTATGTGATTCAAAAATGTTTTCCTATATGTAAAATGTAAAAACAAAAAAATGACGTTTTTTGTTTTTACATTTTACATATAGTTTACCAACGGCATGGAAATATGTATATTGTAAAAAATAAGTTTGTCAAAAGACCATAATTACCTTATTTCTACTATATATTTTTGTATGCTTTTATTCAATATATTATTTATTTTACATTTTACTACTATTCTATTATTTATATTAATTTTTAGTTACTTTAGCTTTATATTCAAATATTTAAAAATTGTTATTCTTTTATTATATTCTATTTTTTAACAATATTTAACGGTTAAGATGTTTCAAAAAATTATAGCCTGAGGATAGCCTATTAGACTAGGTTAAAAACGTTTGCTAAATAAAAATCCCAGAAGCAAAAAGGTGTTTACAGAATAATTTTGAATTATTCTGCTGAGGTTCATTTCATTTATTGTTTAATTTATATACAAGGTACTGTTATTTCGATTGTTTAAGTCATAATTAAAGTAGTCAAAAGCTTTGACTATTAATAAAAAGATATTTTGCACCTATTGCGAATTATAACAATTTTGCCAGGTAGCATTCGATTTGGAAGTTGTTTGATTTTAAATAGAATTTAGAACGCTGGAGTTTTGGAGTATTTGAAGTTCGCCATTTTGCTTTTGTGTAAATGTTTCGTTGAAATAAATATTCATTGTGCCTTTTTCCAACAGCATCAATTCCTTATTTTATTTCTTTGCTAAGTGCTTAAAAGACCATAAAAACAACATAATGATAAAGTGATTCCACAATTTTTCCAGGAACATTATTATTCATAATGCTCACTTGAGCTTCACTAGTGAAAGGAGCTAATAGACGAAGAGGAGGACTCTTAATATGACCGAGCCATGCCGTTGGACCTAGAGAAAGTACTACTTTGATCTGGAAAATTCAATATTTTAATTTTAAATAAGTTGTAAAAGCTGTGTGGACGTAAGTGGACACATTTCTTACCTTGTTGTACTCGGGATTCTCGGAGAGAAATGCATAGAGTATCATGTTACCTTGCGAAAATCCCACATAATATAATTGACTTTGACCTGTTATGTTTAGGACAAAGTCTATACTATCCGGTGTATCATACTTGGCATGTTCGTCAATGCTACAAAGAAACGTTTTAAATTGATGTACAAAGAGCTGGCAAGTTCTCTTTCTACTGACCTGAAATTCCAAAATTCACCATCTTCGGGCGAATATTTGATATGCTTTCGGGCGTAAGTGTTACCTCTCTGATTTCCCATCCAGACGTCGTAACCTTCGTCAGCCAAGATATAACCTACCATAATTTAATAAAATATTTTAAATATTGAAATGTAGAGAACATTACAAGAATCAATATTCTCTTCAATAAGAAATAGTATTGTAATTAATGCAATGAAATATTCTATTGACTTTATTTTAGTTGAATTTACTCGAACGTGTGCAAAACTAAGTTTAGAATACAAACAATATGATAATCCGTATGTTGTTACACTAGGTCAGGGCTTCTTAAACTATGGGTCGCGACCCCATTTGGGGTCGCTTAGCGAAATCTTAGGGTCGCGAGATTTTAATGCAAAATCTTGAAAATAATTTGTGAGAGTTTGAAAATGGCAAGCTTTGTGTCATAGGTTTCGTGAGTTGCGCTTTGTGTCACTTCTGGTGCAGCGAGACAACGATTCAGCAACGCTGTAGTGTGAACTAGTGTAGTGTTGTCGCTTTTCAGTGTATTCAGTTCTCTCTGTTCCATTGTAACACAAGAGCGAACTGTGGTAGTATACCATTATTCTTTTTGCAAATTTGTATATATTTTTATTTTAGATTTTTTTTGGGGTCGCGAAAGCTATCTGTATACCTGTTAGGCTTAGAAGAGGAGATCCTTTTATCTGACTGTCACAAACAGATGTACTGTACAGTACTGTACATCTATTTGTGATCGTCAGATACAAAGACTCCTCTTTGGATTTCCTACCGTCAGATACATCGCGCGACTTTGCCGTATCGCGCTAGAATTGAGGCGAAGCCGGAAAGATAGAAGCGATCTCTACACCTGTTAAGCGTAGAAGAGGCGATGTTTGTACCTGACGGACACAAGACAGTTGAACTTTGCATTTGCCAACACAAAGAGGCGATTCAAGAACAAATGAATCGCAAAGGATTGTCTGTTTTGGGGTTTTGTTTGTGTTTCGCGCCTATTTTCCGTTAGGCGTTCGCAATGCTGTTTTTATTTTGTCATCTAGGCCTAAATTTCTTTAGAAGCCTTCTGTCATACAGAATTGTCACTTTAAGACAAGGATTTCCAACCTTTTTCCTGTATTGACCGTTTTTAAGAATATTTTTTTTCTGTTGATTCCCTTTAATATATTATATACTGTATGATATATATGCTATAACCACTTTCATAATTTAACAAAAAAAAAAAAAAAAAACACTTTTTCACATATATTTAAGAGCAAAAAAATGTGTAAAATTTTAAATATTTTAAAATAAATTTTTATATTTGCAAAGTTTTAGCGATCCCCTCAGTAAAGTTGAAATCGTGCCTTACGATTTCCGATTTATCAAAAAGAACACCTATGTCTCCTTGAACACAAATTAAGTCTCTTTATTATTTAACACTGTTTAGAGATACACAGCAATCCATCTTGACTGCTACTAACTACACAGTCTTAGTCCAGACTTGTTTTTCCCCTTCAGTCTTAGGCTAGGCCAGTGATTCTAAACCTTTTTTTCGTCACGGTACACTTTTAATAGTTTAAAAATTTGGCGGCACACACGGTTACTTCGGAAAGTAACCGCAGGATAACCGGTGATGTCATAACAGTGATTTTTAAACGCAGTTGGTTATTTAGGTAACATTTTCTAAACGCCTTGGTAACTACCGGCAGTTACTGGTAACACCGGTTACAATTTCCAAACACGCCCTAGGAAGGTAGAACCGATTGAACTACTTGTCTGACGTCACTTATGTATGGGTATTTGCAGTGTCGGCACACTTCAAAAATCTCGCTGCAGGCACAGTGGTTGAGAATCACTGGGCTAGGCTCTCGTTCCAACGGACGCGTTGCCTTATACCTAAGTTCTAGATCCGTTGGCAGACCAATCAGGAGCTGAGCTGAGCTGAGCTTACCCTGTCAAGCCGCCCCGGTTGGCATACCTGTTACCACTTGTCCAGGATGACGTCCCTTTCCAGAAAACATGCTTCGATGTGTGAAAACTTGACCTATCTTGTCACTACTCGAAACCTCCTTGACACTTTCATCGATCCGTAATGAGTCAATACCAAACCTGCTGGAAAACCCTGCTTTAATAGGTATACGATGTATATTGAAAACGAAGTTATGGACTACTATTTTTTGCATTTAAACGGATCCTCATTACATTTTTGGGTACCTCATTGCAATAATGAAAAATAGCAAAGTTTTATCAAACTCGCCTCATTAAATTCTGAGAACGAAATCCATTCTATAAGCCTATAAGACGCACTAGCGATCGTGGAAAAATCATACAAAAAAGTCACGCGATCTGTGCGAAATCGCTTTGTAGCGCACACTCGTGATGTGAGGCTCCTGGAAATGTCAAGGAACTACACTAAAATCTAAAAACCATTAAATTTGTTAATATTCTAAAATATTATTTTTTTATGTCTATAAAAGGAAATACTAAATTTAATAGATAAAGAAAAAAACCTTTTCTCAGAAATTAGATAAAGGAAAACTAGACAATGTAAGTAAGTCCTAAAATCAACTATCTCCGCTTGGGATCGAATTAAATGTGCCCTACTCATCCCGCTATCTGGGTTCAGATCTCGTTACATTTAGTAACGAGTGACGACCAATTAGAAAGTGGGGATAAGAAAAAATAACCAATCGAAGTGGTTAATCTGAGAAATCTGTGACCAAAAACGGCAAAAACTCAATGACACAAAGAGTGCGTTACCAAAGTGCGTGCTTCAAAACGCCTAATGTGTACTATATCTTAGTGGCATTCTCCACGTTATCGTGGTCAATATAAGAACTGACCTCGCCTTCTCCAGGAACAGACTGAACAACATCGCTCCAAGGCAAAAGAAAAAACTAAAGAATCGTTCTCGCAGGACACTCTCTTGAAAGTTTTTGAGTCTTCACCCGCAGAGACACCGAGAATATAATTGCTGTAAGCTTTTTGTTTTTTGTGTGTTTTAAATAAATCGTGACGATTTTCTTCGTAACTGTGGAGTCTGACTCTGTGTCTATCACGCTCACGTTCCGACTCGGTACCTCTCTTCAGTTTTGACTTTAAGAACATTTGGCGACCTCACAATGGTGTCAGAGTGCGATGCTTTGATTCTTTTTGTAAGAATTGCAAAATTTGTGTTGTCTGACGAAAATCTGTGCTCGTCACGGGTGCAGTGATTAATTTTCATGCAAATTAATCACTGCACCCGTTAGCCTTAACTGTACATAGGGCCAAGTAATTGTCATTGGTGAGACGTTTGTTTTGTTTACAAAGTGGGCAAAATGCCAGAGAAGATGCCGAGCATCATGCGCTTTTTGAAATTGTAATTAGTAAGTCTCTCGCCGATTGCGTAACTGAGGATACAAAATGGCAGGCGATTTTCGTGAACGTCACGTAATCTCGCATAGATTAGGGCCACCTGTTCGTGAAATGTTTCATTAGGAAAGTAATCGAAACCATAATCACTCCTTTTACGGGACTTCTGGTATCTTTTCTTTTCTGGCAAAGAAACCATAAGACTTCAGCTATACACACGGAGTGCAATGTATTGCACTAGATTCTGTTTAATAGAAATCTTAAGACGTTTTCGTTTTGTTAGTGATGATGTCTATTATAGCAGGGTCTTTTGTTGAGCTCTAAATACAATAGTTACAGCAACAGACTTGTTTTCAATAAGCCTAATGACTTCATTACTAGCTGTCAATGTGTCGATCCCCATAAAGATTATCTTACTTTCTAATATCTAGCCAATAAAAACTGCTTTTTTAATAAAGAAAACTAAAAGGAAATCTATAATTCGAAAATTAAGATTTCAAATTTAAAATCTTAATTTTCTAGATAATAATTATTGATATGTTGTAGAGAAGCTGAGATCAAAATTTCAAGTTGCTTTGTGCTAAAAGTAAGCCAAAACAATGAAAACCGAGACAGGCTCTTCAGCGCGTACTCGTGGCGGTAGCTCACTTAGTGCCTTTTTAGCCTTTGGGGAATAATACCGAACTTTTCTGGGGAAGGCCATGTCATTGGTTTATTTGATACTGTAAGGTCCATCATTTTTCCAAAATTTTGGTTATTATTATAGATCTGTTTATATATATATATATATTCTCAAATTACTGTTAACATTATAATTATAATTTTAATCAATTTATTGTATTTTAAGCTATATATGTATTTTATATTTTTTTCTGTTTGTCTAATTGTGAACATTGCTAACTGCCAGACAGGACACCCTTTTCACCCACATCTCGATGTGTGTGAATGCGACATTCGAATTATTTATACTTATGAACCTATGTTGTAACGTCGTTTAGAAAGGGGATCCCTAAAATTTTTCCAATTTTAGGAACCCCTTTCAAAATTTTTAGTAATACCAGTTAAAAATAATTCAGAGAAACGAGCTAGAATAAAAAAATTATCCATTAATTGTTATAAATCTCACAAAATGCGAAGGAAAAGATGGAAAGAAAGAATCAGGACGATGATCGTTTCCTCCTTTTTTAATGGTGTAAGATGACGGATGCTACTTTATCCATGTCACGTGGATGTATATAATTTTTAATAGACAAGAGAGCAGAAGAACTACTGGATGACTCATCATGCTTATTGCAAATTACCTCAACTTTTTCCTGAACAAAATCATTGGTGAAAACGAGAAATAAAATAAAAGGAAATGACGAAACCTAGAGTGAAAAACTTAGTGAGGGACTGAGTGAAGGAGAAAGAAGACAAAAAGGTGAAGAAGAAAGAGAGAGAAAGTGAAAGGAAAGGAGAGAGGAAGAGAAAGCAGAAAGAAGAGAGGGGGAAAAACAATACAGCATTCAGAAAGGAAGTCAACTCCTACAAGAGAAGACAATTCTTTTCCTGGTATGTTGTGAATCGCGAAGTTCGGATCCTCCCCACTAGGTACCAACCATTTTACAAATAAAAATAGGCTAACTCCCTAAAACAGATTTTGTACTTACTATTAATTTAAACTAAGTTCGAATGTTATGTTTCGTTTTTCAATAATAAATTTTCTGTTTTATTCTTAAATTAGTTTAGTGACTTTGCATTAATTTTCCTGATGGGCTTATTCCTGGACTTCCGAGTCACTCTGACATTCGCGCCTTAATTAACTATCTGTCTTTTTTCTTTTTTTTTATCTTAATCGGCGGTGTGTCCGAAAACACATTTGGTGGCAGGATCCTACCCTAAATTCCCATAATCCAATTTTTGATGGGCCCTAAGCCCCCACAATACTTCGGACAAGATTGCAAAGTTGGCTGGACTCAGTACCAGTGTTTAAGTATCGCTAAATACAAACTTACGGGAAAAGTACAATTTTGCTTGGCGCGACTTAGGTATGAAATGCGTGACTGAATATGTTAATTTTAAACGGTTAATGATCGAACGATTCAACTGCGAAACATACTCGATCCGAGTACACAAATTCATGCATGCACTTAAAAGAAGGACGAAAAGGTCCAGGAGTTTGCAGTCAGATTGCAAATGCAATGGTGATAGAACACGCTAAGATGAACAGAACAGTATCATTATAAAAAGGTGTCAGCAGCGAGAATTGAGTGAGAAGCTCTGTATCCAGTTGTTGTAAAAGGATAAAGCGTAATGTCACGATCCATGATTCAGCTACATTTTTTCAAGCACTACGAGTAGCTATTAGAGAGGAGACATTTGAGCAATTAACTAATAAACCGCGAAAGAATATCAGAAACGTACAGTACAGGAAATGGTAAAGTGTAGCCAAACAAAAACCGAAAGAGTGAAACCCTGCAAGACGCGATATGAAGATAAGTCAAATTTCTAAACAGTTAGAAACCTCCAGAAAGATATTAGACAATCAGTCGTCGTCAGTACAAACAACTAGTGCGCGAGGGGGAGAATTCAATCAAAACAGATGAACGCTGCCATTTTACCGTACGACAGACACAGAGTAGGAAATACCAATACAATCAGAGCTTCGGCTTTACTTTACATAATCTTATCACAAACAACCACTGCTTACTTCCATAAATGAGCTACCATTTTTGAATTATTCTTTTCAGCACCTTTCTAGGCGCTACTCACAAGGGAACTGTTGGAGTGTTTTTTAATAAATATTAATAAAATTTAGTTAATAACTTTATGTAAAGGTTCCTTCTCACCAGGTACTGGTTCAATATATATAAAAATCGATTCACAATAAACCTTTGACCAGTAAAATATTTATTTGAAAAACAAACGTTTCCGACCGTATTCTTCGGCCTTCTTCAGGTTAAACGTTTCGAGATTCGAAAAGTCGTTATGCTTACAGATTTAAAAGTTTTGGAACATATTCAACTCATTATGAGCATGCGTATCAAGCATTGCATAAAAAAATATATTTAAATAATCTTATCTAAACAATTTTATTTTACACGCACATGAAATGTTAGAAACACCTTAACTAGAGTTGTGGGGACTTCCCCTTCAATGACAAACATCCAAGCTGTAGAAATATTACTCGCATCTTTATAGTTGATGCAGTTATTTCGTAACCCCGCTTTATATATTTCCAGGGTTTCTAGCGTTCTTATGTGTTCCCTTCTGTGTGAAAGTTTAATAATTCGCGCGTTATGTAAGTCGGCATTTATGCCCGGGATCAAAGCATAAGTAGATAGGGCAGTGATGCATCTGTTATGCTGAATGTCATATTTGTGTTCGCGTATACGCTTATCTAGAGGGCGTATCGAGGAGCCAATATATACCAGGTCTCTTTGAAATCCATGGTCCCTTAGTGGGACAGAATATACCCCTGGAGCAGATCTCTTTCTATGTCGTCTTTGCAGTTGAAAAAGCTGATAAGAATATAATCTCAACACATCGAAAAGAAAAAATTCTTAACTTGTATAAGAAACATTCAAAATGGAAATTACGCACGTTACAGCGGAAAGGATCTAAAGAATTTTAGTTATTTATATAAATGGGAAAACAATTTAAATTTCGATAANTTATTTTGGACATTGATAAACAGGTAGCTAAAATGCTTTTTAATGCATTTAACGATGTTTTAAGTAATTATGTAAGTAGAG